TAAATGTAACAAGTGAGAGGTAAATATTAAACTTAATGTAAGAAGTGAGAGGTAAATATTAAACTAAATGTAAGAAGTGAGAGGTAAATATTAAACTAAATGTAATAAGTGAGAGGTAAATATTAAACTAAATGTAATAAGTGAGAGGTAGATGGATGATATTTTGTTAGCTTGTATGTGATTGATAATGATCCAGTTAGAGAGAATTTAATCTAAGTAAAGATAATATGAGCAGCAAGATAGTTAGGTGTGATTGAGAAGGTAATTCATTAAAGTATAAACTAAACGTTAAGATGAACACCCAAGAATGAAGTTTGATAATCAAATTAGACAGAGTACAGACTTAAAGTTAAATGTAAATGTACTTTATTTTAGGAAGACATAATTATGATCAACAGAAACTGGAAGTCATTGTTATTTCTAGTAGCCTTACCAGAATGAAGGACAGATAGAATATATAATTAGTTAGATGTGTCTGGAAACCCAGAATACATGATTTTTCATTTCGTTTGGGAATAGGTGACCATATTTAGTACCTGTGCATTGTAATACAAACATTAGAACACATTCATGAATGTCAGAAAAATACATAGGTTCAAGAAATCTTAACATAAAACAATAAAAACCCTGTAACCCAAATAGTAGTTGTTAGAACCTGTGGGTTGTGAAGTACAGCTAACCTGGACTTCTGCATCAAACATGGTAAGGACTTTCTAGTGGGTTGTGAAGTACAGATAGCCTGGACTCGTACATCAAACAAAGTAAGGACTTTCTAGTGGGTTATGAAGTACAGGTAGCCTGAACTCATACACTAAACAAAGGAAGGACTTTCTAGTGGGTTGTGAAGTACAGCTAGCCTGGACTCCTACATCAAACAAAGTAAGGACTTTCTAGTGGGTTGTGAAGTACAGGTAGCCTGGACTCGTATGTTAAACAAAGTAAGTTATTTCTAGTGGGTTGTGAAGTACAGGTGAACCTTTCGAAAGCATTTGGGTTATAGAGTTTTTAACATTAGAACACATTTATGTCACAACATAATTATTGTGGTTTAATTATGTCTTCTTTTGCATACTTACTCATACATATATGGTACTGCTTACACTAATTCACTTTTCAAGTGATACATACTCATTTTCTAACCATCTGATTTATCTGTTTTAATTATCATTTGTTGGATGTTTTATAACACAGTAATATTCATGTTTCATACTGTTGCCCTCAAATGTATTCTTGAGTGTGTTTTTTTATCTGGTTATTTTGAAAATTACAAAATGAAGAGCTGCTTTCTTGAATAAAACATATCTTATAAGTTTCTTTTTTTCTTTTATTCTCAGGGATTATTCAGTATTAGTGTTGAAATTCTAGAGTACAGAAATCTAACAATGCAGCAGTTGTTAGAACCTGTGGATTGTGAAGTACAGCTAACCTGGACTCGAACATTAAACAGGGTAAGGACATTCTAGTGGGTTCAATGCAGATATTCATACAATTAGATAAGACAGATGCTTTCAGATTGTGGACTTAGAATTTCTAAGACTGGGATATCCATTGTACTTAATGGCATTGGAAAACAAAGGAATATGGATCATCTTGGGAGACAAGGACCATCCAGTAAGAAACCTGCAACAATTACTTCAACCAAGGTAAGTAAAGTGTGGCATTTTGTAGCAGAAAAAATCCATGAACACAAAGGTCAATAGCACAAACCATCTATGTGTCTCAGACAATAGTATGCAACATAATAAAGAATGATCTTCATCTGGAAATAAGGCCAATAAGACATGGGCTCACCAAGATAAGGCTTCGAGTCATACCTCCTGTTCAACCACCACATACCTGGAAAACATAATAGTTTCTGTGGATTTCTTTGAGATCAAACTGTTGAAACACGTACTGGAAGACTGTTGTCCTCTTACAGAATATTGATTATGTAAAGCATGTAGAGAGTAGTGATGTGCTTTGGACATGACAGCTTTGTAATGAAACATTTCACAATGGAAACTGTGCTGTATGGCTATTATAAGATGCATAATCTTCAGATAGAGCATGACCAGTTGTAATGACATGGTGAGGCTTCAACTGTAGACTGTATTAGACAAAATACAACTGTATGATTAAGATTATTGTCGTGTAATATTACACTAATTAAATTGAAACCAATAATATCATTTTAAAGCGTTACTCTTGTTTGTTTGTTTTTAAAAGAAGGGAGCACTGGTACTATCTTATATATTATTGTGCATTTTGTTATAAATTGAACTATAGAAGTGATAAGTTAATTGTAAACGATACAGATGTGTTCTTTTGTTTTTTAGCCATCTGTGCTCGAAGGAGGAGTTATTCTTCATCCTTGTTATCTTCGAGTAGGACAGTCCATCATTCACACTCTGAATCTGGCTGTGCTTAGCTGGTCTAAGGTTGGTGTAATTAACTATACTCTGAGCATAAACCTCTGATGTTAATCATTTAAATGCTTTGAACCTAATTCTAACTTTTATTAAGAATTAAATACTGCTTCACAACAGCAGTGAAATATGTAAAACATGTATGAACCTTACATAATTAAAACGTTGATTGTTAAAGAAACAACAGTCTAATGTAAGTTTTTAAGGTGTAAACAGATAATATGATAGTATGTAGTCAGTCTGTGATTGTTAATGTAACACATTTTATTTATTTAGTGTGAGGTTTATGATTTAAAACAATCTGGCTCTGCCTAAACAATCAGTGATTGTTAGACTGATATATTTTATTTAGCGTGAGGTTTTTATTGTGTAAAACAGTCTGGTTGTACATAGTCAATTCATGATTTTTAAAGCAACAGATTTTATTATATGTGAGGGTTAGGGTATATATAACAATCTGGATGTTCATAGTTAATCAGTGATTGTTAGTAACACATTTTATTATATGTGAGGTTTATGATGTAAAAACTATCTGGATGTTCATAGTTAATCAGTGATTATTAGTAACACATTTTATTATATGTGAGGTTTATGATGTAAAAACTATCTGGATGTTTATAGTTAATCAGTGATTGTTAGTAACACATTTTATTATATGTGAGGTTTATGATGTAAAACTATCAGGATGTTCATAGTTAATTAGTGATTGTTAAAGTAATATATTTTATTATATGTGAGGTTTATGATGTAAAACTATCTGGATGTTCATAGTTAATTAGTGATTGTTAAAGTAATATATTTTATTTAACATGAAGTTTATGGTGTAAAAAATTCTGGTTTTGTGTTAGACAGTAGTTGCTAAACTAACAAATTTGATTTAATGCGAGATCTTATGGTGTAAGACGAATAATATGGTTTTATACAGTTAGATCAATTTTTTGGAATTACAATGTTTCATGATGTCATAGATTGAATAGTTCTTGGCACCTAGAGTCTTTTGCTGTAATGATAAGTGATTTAGATTATAGAACATCCTTATGCTTAAAAATGTTTCGGTGTGTCATACATTAATTTTGCAAGGTTTTAAGTTAACTTGTTGGGTCTGTTGTCATTTTTTTGTTGTTGTTTTTATAGAAATGGCGTATTTAATGATGTCAGAATAGTCCTAACCCTTTTTGTTTTCATGCAACAGACACATTATAACATAATATTTTATAGTTATTTAATTATTTATAAAATGAATATCCTGTGTTTTTATAGTTCCAGAAAAAAGAGTCCAAACTTCTTGTCCCTAATTACTATTTGATCTGTAATGACACAGAAGAAACCGTACGGTTTGGTCAAGTAAGTATCTTCCCCTTTTAACAATAATATGAACAATGATTATTAATGGTGATTGTAAAACACTCGATATTGTAATCTTATAAAAAAGTTTTAGATAATTATGCAAAAATCACTTTTAAAAAGCAAGGTAACTTTATCGAATTAATTAACCCAATCAGTGATTCACTCTTAAAAAAGGTTATTCCTTGTTGTTTATCGGTATAAATGCTGTTGTTAAGCTCTATGATTTTTGTTAATATTTTATTTAGGTCACCTGTAATTTTTGTAAAGGTATTTCTTTAGTTTGATTACTTGGGTGTAATAAATTCATGCCCCCTTATTTGCTCAGTGGTAAGTCTGGAAGCTTATAACTTAAAAACTGGGTTTCGATACCTATGGTGGACACCTCATGGATAGCCCATTGTGTAGCTCTGTGCTTAACAACAGAAAAGCAATAAATTTTATTATACATCTGTTTCATTCTTAATGATAATAAAATTTTGAGAAGAATCAGTTATAGTTTGACACAATTCAGTTGTTCATTTCTTTCAGGTTGACACAGATGAGAGTATTATTTTAGCTAGTCGACAGATGCATGCTTACAGTTGGCGTGCTCACAAGACAAAACAGGTTAGTAACCTATAATTTTTGGCTTCTTGGAGCAATGTATTAACCCTATCACCCTGGGTATCAGTTACTATGCATGACACAAGGTTTTAGTGTCTTACATTTAAAATTCTATTAAAATACTTTTTGTTTATGTTATACCAATTAGAATAGCATAAAATCATAGCTAATAATCCATATTTTGATAGTATATAAGTCATAAGTTCTTAATTCTACAAGAGCTTATTAAAAAAAATCCTAAATTTCCACTAGTGTGACCCATGTGACACATTTTGTTTTATTTTGTTTCGCTATAGAGCTATTGAAAAGAAAATCAGACCTCTCCTGCCACACCCACCTCTAACATCCTCTTTTTCACCACAATTCATTGATAGTTCTCTCTTACGTTTCATTATATATTACTTATAACCAATAGAAAGTAAAGGTTTTCATCTATCAAATGATGTATTATATAACATGTTTTGAACAGAATATTGTCAATTTCACTCAGAGTGCAAGATTCGTTCCCATGGGATAGTTAACGGCTAGCTTGGATGAATTCGTAACGGCTCTTGTCACCTAGTTGATAAGCCAGAAAAATTATTAGTTATTAGTCTATGTTCTTTGGTGCATTATTTAATTAGATACAAATTATTAAATGCATTACTATTAGTGCTATAAAAAGTTAGGGTTAACTTTCTTTGAAACCCGATGGCAAGAAAAAAGATTAGTTAAGTATTTTATTTCTTGGTTTTCATATTTATTCTTTATTTATTATTATAAAAGTAACTAAAATCTAAAAATACGGATTTTTTTTAATTTATTTAAAACTAGATTAGGTAAAAGAAGTAATGATAATAATAATATCATTAAAATGGTTCATGAGCCACGCGAGCTGCATGTTCTCCGAGTGATTTACAACTTTTTATGGTGTGGAAAGTAGTTAGACATGGTTCAAAGGGCAATAGAATTTAATTATAAATAAATGTATAATGTTACAAACTTAGAGCTGCTTTGGATAAACGAATGTAGTTTCATGTTACAATTTGGAGTCATTCTAGAAAAAAAAAAGGTTAATTTAGGTATATTTGGATTTTTTTTGGTGATTACGAGGTCAGTTGAATTGACCAATCCCATTTTAAGATAAGGTAGAGAAAATAACAGATAAACTACAAAGTTCTACTGAAAAAAAAACTTTTTTAATAAATTTAGGAAGTTTTAGGAATTACACAAAGGAAATATGAGATTTTTGGGATAAGGAAAAGTATTTTTAATTTTAATAAGAAAATAACTTTGCACACGGACTATTCAAAACAAATACTCAATATAGTCATGGACAAATCTTTATCTTATTTTATTAAAAATACTTCACTAAAAAATATGACCTTTTGTATGTGAATGACTTGTAATGTTAACTGAAAGACTGCCAAATTTCGTGAAGATATACACACTGTTTTGAGAGTTATGTGCGTTAAATCTATAAAGACTTTAAACGAGTACAAAAAGGTCACGTATTGAAAGTGTTAACACATGGTTATCCTGATTTATTACTAGTTGGAACTTGAATATGTTTACTAGTTATCGGTATTGATACAACAAGATTTATGAAACACTGTGTATGTGTTTCTTCTTATAAAAACAGTGTCGCAAGAAGGAAAAAATGCACCACGTGTATATCACAGAGCTTAAAAGAGATAAAAAACTTTTTGTGTACATAAGACACAAATTATGAAGTGTATATTCTAGCGATGGAATAAAGATATTTTTATAAACATAAGCACGTATTGTTGTGGTTGTACCACTTGTCATATGTATAAAACACAAGTAAATTAATAACATTCTTGGAAAATCTAATTAAATATTTTAATACTTTGATTTCAGTGTTTAAATTATTTATAGAACTTTGATGATGTTTTCCCAGTATTTACACGTGTGTCTCGAGAGCATGAGGTGGGGATGGAGCGAACCATTCTCGTTAGATAGTGTTGGAACAATTGTAAAAACTTGGGAGACCAAAGGTCAGATAGCTACACTGCTCATCATCATAAAACAGATATCTACTGTACAGAAACAGGTGGGAATTGCATCTTGTTTAGTATTATAGCAGCATTCTCATAATGAAACTGTGTATGTAAGTTAATAATGGCTGGATACGGCTTGAATGGGTAATGAATGTGTATGTAAGTTAATAATGGCTGGATACGGCTTGAATGGGTAATGAATGTGTATGTAAGTTGTATATCAGTACATAAAAAACAGAAGAGTTTTATACAAATGTTCGTTCTCTAGAGGCATTCTTAGAATTATGTATTTTTGAGCAATATCCTGATTTGATGATTTATTATAGTTTATTTTTATTTTTTAGGTCATCATACGAGGGCAACTAGTGATCTCTAGTAGATTGACTCAACATTTAGAAGTGAAGCTTTTCACTCACCCTCACCACCTGGGCAACTCGCACAAACCTAAAGAGAAAGAATATCGTAAAAAAAGTGCAGTTCTAGGACAACAGTGTACACTTCCTAGTTTTGTGATAGAGCACCAATACATCCACTGTCTGCGGCTCCGACACCTTGGAATTGATACTCCCTGGTCTGAAAATATATATATTACTGGAGACAAGACACACGTATGTCAGCTGATCAAGGTATTGTATATTAGGAGCCAATATTTTTTTGTTTACACTGCTGAATGAATTACAATTAGCCTCAGCTGCGATTCAAGCTCGATTAACATTTTGATCTTGGAGCCTTTTAGTATCATGTTGGTTGTTCCAATATTTTTTTGTTCAGCTGCAACTGAAAAAAAAGAATAGCAGACAAGGATTAATATACTAGTTTCTCCCTGTTTTGGGTTGTATAAAGATGAGTCATTCGTATTTACACTTATAAACAAACAGAAAAAGGAATGCTAAATTGGCACGTAGCACTCATAGCTTTTATCAGTAACACAAGCGACAGTGATGTCAAACTGAAAACTAGAGATATGTTTGTTGATATTCAACTGATTTTTTGGAATCCTTGTTGAAATCTATGTCCTAATTGAAAGTTGCAGTATGAACAGTGTATTAGGAGCAAAAGTTTCAATGACCAAAGGTTTTTATGTGTAGCAAATATGCATAGAAGATGTCAGAGAACTCCCGTGCAAACCATAAGTGGGCTAACTTGGTGGGAAGTTATGTTGTATGATCAGAAATGGATAAATAAAGCTAAGCTGAATAACATTGTGTTTACTAGCATGTATTTAAAGAAACTGATTAATTTTAATTTATTCACTTAACTCGTGTGATTGATAGTACATTGTAAGTTATTAGGTCTTACTGTGGGAGAGTGTGGCGTATACAAAATAATGGGAACATTTAATAACACAATTTATATTATACTGTAAATTAGTATGCCTTACTGTAGGAGGGTGTAGCATACACAAAATAATGGGAACATTTAATAACACAATTTATATTATACTGTAAATTAGTAGGCCTTACTGTAGTAGGGTGTAGCATACACAAAATAATGGGAACATTTAATAACACAATTTATACTATACTGTAAATTAGTAAGCCTTACTGTAGTAGGGTGTAGCATATTCAAAATAATGGGAACATTTAATAACACAATTTATGCTATAGTGTAAATTAGTAGGCCTTACTGTGAGATGATGTAGCATACATAAAATAATCAGAACATTTAATTTGGGAACATAAAATATGTAGCCTGTACTGTATGTTCCTAGACTTGTAAGTGTTCATCCACAACAACCCCCAAACCACCCCAATTTTTCAGATTTTGTTGTGAACAAAGTTTCACTATTTTAATTTTCCAAAGTTGGGAGGTATTTATGTATTTAATATAATGTAACTTTCATCTTGTGAGTACTTACCAATCTTATTAAGCTAATATAACTTTTAGATGAAAATTCCTGATCAATACAGGAATTTAATATTTTGTTTGGTAAGCCCTGATACACATGATAACATATAATTCATATTAAAGTCCAGAGTTAGCTAATCAAGATAATATAACTTCCAATATTCTGTAGTAAGCTCATAAACATTTAATCAAAGTGGTATTAGTTTATATCAGGTGTTTCCAACTTTGAGCCAGTGACAAGCCATATGTAGTGTTTTGAATGCCTCCTCGGAGGCTGTACATTAGCTGTTGAGTGAAAACAAATTGATCCTCACTTTATTCAAGATTGTTGGTATTAAACACCAGACTAATAGTGATAGGTAACAAACATTAATCAACTAAACATGTAAGATGCTAAAAATAAGTTCTGTATTATCAATATAGGTAAAGGTGCTTAGAAGATTACTTTGTATCACCTTTGGTTAGAACATATGTATTCCCATGCCAGATTTCTGTATTTCTACACAAAATAAAAAACCAATTTTAAACATTCCATTCTTATCCTGATTTATTTTTTTTTGTCAAAGGTGCCAGTCAAAGGTAAAAGTCAGTTTATGACTTTCTGGTGCACTGTCATGACATTAGAGGTGAGCCCTGGAGCTGTCGTGCGAGTGGTGAGTGTCTCCACTGGATTGTTTCATCAGAAAGATACTCAGTTTAGTAGTAGAGTTTCATTATTTAAAATGCTCTTTTTAATAGGTTTTAAAAGTTGTATTTTGTCCATTCAAGAAATGAAAAATATTGGATATTAAGTTTCTGCATCACCATAATAATTTCTTTGTGCATAGTTAAATAATTAATAATTAGATTAATTAACTATAATGAGTTACAAAGCTCAAACAATTAGGCACTTAGGTGAGTCAAAGAATTCACTTTCAGAAGTGTGATTTATATTTATTACAAAGAAAAAAATAATAGTTTAGGAAGTCTTACATATGTCGCATCACTAAAACTTGACCTTTCTTTGTCGTTATATTTTGTTTTGCTCATGTTATCTCATTATTATAAATATTACTTTGCAAACCATTCTCTGATGAGCACCTGCTAATTTTGCCACTGAATGATCACCTTGGCCATAATTTAAATAAGATCTGTTTCTTTGTCCCTTATCTTGGAGTAATGTCTAAATGGGCTGGGATCTATTGTAAAATATAAATCACTATTGGTGGGCCACAAATGTGTAGAATTTTAAAGCATACCAATAATTATATCTAGCTGCAAAAGTTGATAGAGACAAAATTTCTTTGGATATGAAAGAGTACAAAGGTGTATGCAAAAAGAAAATCTAAAGCACGCTGTTCCTCATCGTTGATCTAAAGCACACTGTTCCTCACCATTGAACTAAAGCACACTGTTCCTCACCATTAAACTAAAGCACACTGTTCCTCACTATTGAACTAAAGCACACTGTTCCTCACCATTGAACTAAAGCACACTGTTCCTCACAATGGTACCGTGTAAAGTACTCTACATGTTTCAGTCCATTACAAAGCTTACTTAATGGTACTGTATAAAGTACTCTACATGTTTCAGTTCATTACAAAACTTACTTAATGGTACTGTGTAAAGTACTCTACATGTTTCAGTCCATTACAAAGCTTACTTAATGGTACTGTGTAAAGTACTCTACATGTTTCAGTTCATTACAAAGCTTACTT